CAATGCAACAGTCAATCAATGGGTTGTTGCGTACAATACATTCTTCTCTCAGAAATACGATTGCCACATCAACGTCGAGGTGTGCTCGAGCATCACGGCGATCAAGTACCTGTACAAGTACGTCTACAAAGGCGCTGATATGACGGAAATCAGTGCGCGGGCAGTTGGAGATGACGTGAGGGAGTCTGAACACCCTCGATTGAGCGTCTCATAAAAATACATATAACCTCACAAAAAGAAACATAAAACAATCACCAAAACATGTATATTGTGTCCAGCCCCTTTCAACTCCCCACCAACCAAGAATATACACACCGCCCGCGAAGCGGGCGGCAACTGCTAGTATCTACCAACGCCATGCTTCTCGCACGGCCAACTGTACGTGGCACTATCGCAAGTCACTGCAAGATCCAACATCAAGGCGCTTATTGAGGGACCTGACGACGAGTAGGAAGACAGAGTGTACACGAAGAATATCGTGTATCGCCAGATATTTGAATAAGTTGCATTCTTTAATATTGTCGATTGAGCGTCTCATAAAATACATATAACCTCACAAAAAATAAACATAAAACAATCACCAAAACATGTCTATTGTGTCCAGCCACTTTCAACTCCCCACCAACCAAGTATATACATACCGCCCGCGAAGCGGGCGGCGACTGCTAGTGGTGCTATAAATTATAAAAACAGTTTATATTTTTTTTGTCATTTAATGTTTAGTGTTATTGTTTATAGTGTTATCAATTTACATGTTTTTAAGTACAGGTGATTCCCGGTAGACTTCGGTATTCTGGACCTGAACGTTGCGAAACGATTCATAACGAGGACCTTTCCCCACCAGAGCGCAATCCGCTAATGAAAAGAACTCGGGGCGGCGGGAGCACGTGCTTCCATGGGCAGTGGGGGACAGGGCATGGTGTATTGCCCACAGGTGCCACCAGGAAAATCCCCCAAGTTGCTCCGCCCATGGCGGGTTCCGGTAGAGGTCATAGAGGTGGGTGATGTAAAGACAGTGCATCAACTAAGGGACAAGTGGTGACAACAAGATAGAGAGAGTTCGAGAAGGGAAGGCGAGACCATGTCTGAGCTGAGAATTAAGTCACTCAAGATTACTTTGTTTAACCATAACTTTAGGTAGGTTAGTGTCATCGGGGCTGTGTGAATACTACTCATGAATGAAATCAAACTCCTGTATGACCGACATTGTTCTAATTTTGGTTGATCGAGTAGAACAAGGCACGTGCCATGTCCAGACGAATTCTTGTCAACAACAGTGTCCTTAAATATGATGCTAAAATAAATGTTAACACTGGATTAAACGTGCACCTCTTAACCCCTCCCTCGCATTTACGACTAATGATTTGCATTTGCACGTAACATACATTAAAGCCCATTAAAATGCTAATACGACCATATTGTTATTATAAAATTTGAATGCGGTTCACATATCCGACCCCCGGTTCGATTGAACAGGTAATGTAACATGTATGTAACTTGTATGTATGTAACATGTATGTAACATGTATGCATGTAACATGTATGTAACATGTATGTATGTAACATGTATGTAACATGTATGTAACATGTATGTATGTAACATGTATGTAACATGTATGCATGTAACATGTATGTAATATGGACGTGCGAACCAAGGGTGGAATATGTGAAACGGAAGGTGCAGGATCAGGATGGGATTAAAATTATTTGAATAACACTTTGGTGGTATTAGGATCAAGCTGTCTACTATTGGATGAATGTTCCATCTCAATGGCATCAAAAAGCAATATTCAGTTTGAATATGTAAAATAATCGCACAAACCCAATATTAGCCCGTGAAATAATGAATCGTTACAATTGTAATTACTCCAAACTCTTTTATTTAGCCTTTAACGCGGTTTCAGACCCTAGGCGTCACGATGTCGCAATGACGACGACGAGACAGCAACCAGCCAACACAGCCCCAAACCTCGTTTCTCCCGCTCTCTCATTCTCGGCGTGAACCTCCGCCCACACTTGGTCTCGCCTTCCCTTCACGAACTCTCTCTATCTTGTTGTCACCACTTGTCCCTTAGTTGACGCACTGTCTTTACATCACCCACCTCTATGACCTCTAC